CCCCTGGGCCAACCTTGGGCCATCCCGAGCAGCCTGAACTCTCCCCAAACCCTCCCGGTAACTCTGTTTTTTTTTTTTTTTTTTTAATGCTGAAAGGTCTCAATTTTCAAAGCGAGTACTTTAACCCCAACTTCCCTTAGCCATATCTCTGTTTGCTTGGTTTTTAACCTAAAAGGCAAAGATAGAAACAAATTCAACTGGAGAAGCGGACTCAGTCCTAGCAATTGCCACCGAGGTCCTCTAGGGAATTCAATTTATTCTTTTCTTTGGAATTTAAAAATCATCAAACTCTTAACAAAGGGCACCTACACGGGACAGGCTCCGTCTTCTACGGGTTCAAAACTCGAGGCTACAAAGTTTACGGTTAAATTGCCATTTCTTGGACATACTTGCCAGTTATGGCTCCTACGTGGAAAGGGGGAAATAAAGGCATTTCTCTCTTCAGGCTGTAAACTGGTAAATATATTCTTTCTCCCAGGTATGTTAAAATTGATTAAATTATCTCAGTTTTAAACCTCATGGGTGAAAGTTACTGACAAATTACTAATGGCTAATTTAATGACAAATTATTTCTAGTTTTTCTAGCTGGAAATCATCACAACGTATTAATTTCCAGATGACTACAGTTCTCAGAGGTGTAAAATCAGCAGCAGAGAGCTCTCAGCTCAGAGCTGGGGGCTCACAAAAATAAAGCAAAGAAGAATTCCAGATTACTACCCTTTTTGGTAATCAAAAAAAGTAGTAACAAACCAAATCCCATTAAACTCAACATCCTCAGAAAGGAGCATTCATCCTGCCTTTCAATTTCCAAGCACTGCCTCAAACAAGGGTGTTGCTAATTTTTTTTAATGACACTATAACTTGTAAACCAGACCTGTTTTAAGGGGAAGAGAATGATCTTAGGACTGGATTAAAAGCATATTTTGTCTCAGCATTCAAGGCAGTGTCTTTATTTTAATGGAAAAGAACTAGCAAACTTTTTTCAGTTCAGTTTTCAGAGAATCCAAACATCAGGAGGGAGAAAGGCACATTTTTTGATTAATACTGACAAACAAAGAAATCACACCCGCTGTTATCAAAAATTTTAAAATATTTCGTTACGAACAATTAATTGCACGATTATGCACACGCAGAGAGACCATTTCATCGGTCTGAAAACATTAATTTGAAACAAAGACTGAGGAAAAAAAGCCAGTTTTAAGATTTCTCCATCCATTTCTACGCACTACACTAAATCCTCACGTCATTAACAACATTTAATAATTCCCACCTCTGCCCGGGAGCACACGGATCCTCTAAACCCACAACTTGCTCGTGAATGACCTCTACTTAAAAACACCCATTTAGTTTTAAGTCTATGGGCTGTTATCAACCCGATTCCCTCTTCCCCCCCAATTACTTGGTTTCATTCTCTCTGGTCGACTCACTTCCACATTCCTCATATTTGGAATGTCTGCTTGATGGATTCACTTTTTTCCCCCTCACCCCTCCTCCTCTCTTCATTCATTCATTCTTTCGACCCCATCGACTTCGGGCTTTTCAGCTTTCCAGTTCCAACCCCCCCAAACCAATCCTTAATCTTCAGTAGGAAAGCTGAATTATTTTTTTTTCCTTAAAGAATCTTTTCTTTTTAAACCTTCCGAAGACTAAAGCATGCAATAATTTTCAAGATTTTTTTTCAAATCCTCTTAAGTTTCTCCAAGTTTTTCTATCGGCAAAGTTAAAGAAAAAATAACTCCCAAACAGCAAAGAGATACTTTAAACAAATCTAAACTAACTCTAAAACTCGGGTTTTTTAATGAAACAACATATTTATCAGCACTGACTTTTCTTTACAGTCTAATACTTTGAAAGTATTTCGTTAAAATGGTTCCCCACGATCATTAACATAATTTGCAGCTTTAAGTGTTATTTGAAGAATCACTGCAATAAAACAACTCTAAATCAGTTTATCCTTCTTGGGTATTTTGGTGCAGCAGCTGCACGCACCAATCACTCGTTCTTGTGCCATATTAACACATTCAGTATTTTTTAATTAATTTCTATGATGGGTTTAGGGACAGGAGAGATTTTTAAAGAAGGAAATACACCAGCAGGAAAGATTCATGTACAACATGCAATTTCACCAGACACGTTCATTTCTAAACCCACCCAAATCAGTTTTCCCCAGCATTCCTATTTGCACTTTCAACGAGAAGAAAACACAACCCCAAAATCC